GTAGGGGTTTTAAAATTGTGTTCTGGAACACTGGTCTGTTTCCTTAGGAAAATTCTGAGAACTAGTAAATTTGCCTAGGTTTATGTCTAATGCGGTAGAACATAAGGTATTGTTATGTCTCTGTATGAATTTGTGGCAGATTATAATAAAATTTTATACCTCATATCTTGTGTACTGTAAACACTGCCGGACCTGTTTCGGAAAGAACAGTGCATGACTGGAAGGGGTAGAGAGGAGGGCAGAATGGCTGGCTGGAGAATGGCTTTTGTGTAAGAAGTGGTTGATTGGAGTAGGATGTTTTAATTTTGAGTAAAGGTAACTGAAACAAGATACAATATAGGCATCAAAATCAGGACTGATATGAAAGGTGCAGATGAATGCTTACTGCCTCATATAATTAAAAATCTGTGGGTACTGAATACAGTTAGCAGGATCAGGCTTAAATGAAAGGATGCATCTTCTACTCTGATGCGTAAGCTGTGGAACTCCTTGCTTCTAGGTGCTAAAAATGCACAGCTTCAAAAGTAATGCTCATGCAGGAGGATTTAATGAACAGCTTTATGTCAATGACTCCATAAGTTCCTGATTCAAAAATCACTGAATATCTGAAGAAAATGCTTTGTAAATACGGCTTTAGAGGGATATATGCTTAGTCTGTGTCTGTGTCCCTCCTTTACAGCCCTAGTGATATTTACTAATAGCCACGGATAAAATGCTGGACCAGATGGATCTTTGATGTTGCATGTGGTAGCTATTTGTATGGACTAGTTAGGATGGTGAGTGCTTTTAAAAAGCAGAGGAAGGAATCTGGTAATTCTGTATTCAGAGAACTGTTTCAGTAATGTATGATATATGTAAAAAATGAAGCCACACACGGAGAAAACAAATTTTAAGAGCTGCTTATAGAGATCCTTTTATTACATGTGTTCAAGGAATGCAAACACATTCTTGCGGAACTAAATTTAATGTGTGATCATAGCATGAACTGAGATTTTCTTTTTTGAGAGTGGGACAGCTGACTGAATGTTTAATGAATTGAAGCTTGGAGTCCAGTGGATATTCTGGGTGGGGTTTTTCTAACAAAAAAAGGTATAAATTTATATGCCAGCTGTTGCTTTCTATGTAAAATATTTCTGAGTCCTACTGGTTTTGTAGAGGCTTGTTAATCTGGCTTTAGCTAGCTATTAATACCTTTTTAGGAGCACCTTGGAAGAAATTTTTTTCTGGAAGAAAAGGAGTGCAACGCTGATGCATGCCTTTTAGTGTTTTGATGTATAAACAATGTCTAGTGTGTATCCTTTTGACCACTGGACATCACATAATCTTGGTGCTGATTTGATCTTAAATTCTATGAATGTATTTCTAAACACTGTTGGGCATTTTACGATCTTCTACCAAAGCAGTCCTTTGTTGATATCAGGTAAATACAAAATGACATCCCTTCATTTTGTGATGTTCCTCTACCTCTTTTTTTATTTTGTCTCTCTCCTCCCAAGCTGCATCAGAATGTCACGGTTGTTTCCTCAGTGTACAGGGAATGTATTGTGAAGTGTAGCCTGTGACTAATCGCCTCTTGCTGTCTCTGCTTATTAACTGTCTGACGGTGATGTGGTTGCACCACTCTCTACACATGGCCTCAAGGATACGGCATTGTGACGCCCATGTTAAAATATGCAAGGCTTGATTTCAAAAGACATTTTGGGTTGGAAAGTTACAGAGGTTATAAGCTAATATTGTGGCTGGTTTTACCCCTTTTATTTTAATGAATATTAGGTGGTAATAGAATGAAGGGTACCTATTCTGTGTTTATACATTCTAGTATACAGTTGATGTTCTAGAGGCTATTTATTTTCAATTATTCTCCAATTTGGTTGAATTAATGTTATCCTACAGTTCAAGCAGTATGTTTGGAATATGGCTTAATTTTTTTCTGCTGAAAATGCATTTGAAGTTTGTTGAATGTCAATGTTTTACAAGTCAGTTTGTTGCATTAGTACCAGATTAAAATACTATGATGGCACACTGACTTTTCAAGTTGCATGCACCTTTATCTTGCTAAACAATTTACCAAAATAAAACAAGTGCTGGACTGGTAATTGGTTATTGGCAAATGTGTAACAGGTGATTGTAGAGAGAACAACTGTGTGAAGGTCTTAATTATTCGTTGGTATCTTAGTAGCTGTGATGTAGTTCTGTTGTGAAAATATTTTCTGTGGTCTTTATCCTTTTTCAGTAAAGGTACTCCCTCTTCCCTTCTCCTTTCTGCTTCCCAGTGAAACCCCAAATATTGTCTTATGAAATGAGATGTAATTTAGTTTAGGAACAGCAACTTGATATTCTTGTGGCTGTGTTTCATTATTGTGATGCAAATTTACAAGACAAGCAGGAAACACAAAGCGGTTTCTATGTAAGGTTTTCTAAAATAATGAATGAAGTTTACCAAAACCTTGTGGGTGAATTTTGGAAACCTCAGATAAGTCAAGGCCTGAAGTGGTGAGCACCACCCTCTTTGACAGCTGTAAATTTTTGAGGCATCCAACTAAAAGTATATTAAATTACTGGTAATTTTAAATCTGTAGTTTTTAGGTAGAATCTAGCTAACTAGTTGCAGTTTATTTAATTGGAACAAAGCAAGTAGTAGAATACTAATGAAAATGCTTGGTTCTTCACTAAAATTATTTTATGCATGCACAAGTTTTACAGCTGCAGAGCTGTTTAATGATGTTTCCTCTTTAGTAATTTGTCAATTTTTTTCAAAATTTCATTTTTAGGGTTTTAAAAGAAGAAATAGGAACCTTTTCTCAAGCTGAAGACAAAGTAAAAGAAAACTGTATCATGTGTTAGAATACTGAAGAGTGAAACTTCTTGGATTAGTGTATTTCTGGATTGCAAAGCAAAAGAAAGAAGAGGCTGAAAATGGGGAGAAAGAAAATACAGATCACGAGAATAATGGATGAACGGAACAGACAGGTGAGAAGCAAGGAGTCTGCATGAATAAGTTCAGTAATTCTAAAAATTAATGGGAACTTTGAACACATTCATTGTGATTCACTCTACTAAAGCTGAGCTTTGTCTTCACATAACTATAGATGGCATTACCAGAATACAAATAAGAAATATGTCTCAATGCTTTTAGTACTTTTTTAGGGAAATTGTTGTTTATAAGTAATATCAGTTACTACTTTAAATCAAATGCACTGTAGAACTACTATTCCTATTTAAATGATACCCTAGTCTGTAATTCTAGTAGACTGGGGGGATTGTATAGAAATAGACACCTTAGTTGATCTGATAGGTACTAGGAACACTAAAGAAGTGTCCTGTGAACTTGTTAAGTACCAAAAGTTGATGACTGTGCAGTAGTAGTGTTTCCTCTTAGTTTCTAAATTGCTATGTGAGATATGAAATAAAACTGTAATTGGATATTGAAATGTATAATGGGGTATCTGAAGCTACCATTTTTAAGGAAAAGTGTTGTAGGAATGGCTTGGGAGCTTCAACAATAGACATAGTGGGTCAGACCAAAGATGCCGCTGGGCCAGGATCTTTTGTCCAATGATGGTCATAAGTAAATAAGTGTAGGACAGAGATGCACATGTTACACTACTCTGTAATCCTCTTCCAGCTTTGAACTATTCTTAGCTCAGGGATTTCCTGAGCTGGATGTGGTTTCCGTATATTTAGTAACCATTAATGGATTTTTTGTTTTGTTTTCCCCACCCCCTGCCAGTGGACTTGTTCAGTGATTGTTTGAGCCCTTACAAAGTTGCAGCATTTACACCATCTTTTGGCTAGCTTTTCCTATAGGTCTATTACCTCTTGTTTCAAGAAACACGTTTTTTATGCTTAATCATGGTTCTGGTAGTTATTGTAGCTCTTGTAGGGAGTGACTGCTGCCTCTGCCATATCTAGGCTGTTCATCTTGCTCATTATTCCATGGACCTCTGCCAAGGTTTGTTATTTTCTTTTAAAATGACTTCTTCAGGCTGAAGCACCCTAGTTTACTTAGTTGTTTTAATACAGAATTTATTCTACGCCTTTCACCATTCTCACTACTTGCCCCTAAACCTTCTTGAGTCTTGGTGGGTTATTTCTGGTGGCAGAGGGACCCAGAACTGTTCAACGGTGTTCAAGATGTGTGCAAAACATGGTCCTATGCACTGGTGTACTGATGTTTGTTCTCTGTTCCCTTGCTAGTATTTAATTTGCTTTTTTCACTTCTCCAGAGCACCAGCTTCATGTTGGGGTAGTGTCAGAATTCCATTACACTTGTCTTGCTGCTGACATACCAGCTCAGAGGCCATTGTGTGTGAATTCAGGATTGTTTTTCTCCTGGTATCACTTTAAAGCAATGTAAACTCTGAGAAGACTATATATAGCAAGAAAAGTATTATTGGAGTTTGGGAGAAAGCCAAGTATTGTGTTTGAATAGCTTTAATCACACAGTGACTGTATGTTTCATGTAGATAAATGTCTTAAGTACACATAGTAAAAGTAGATGAATTAATAACTTTAGTTCTTTCAAGTCTTGCTGTAGAACTTGAAGAGGTGGAATTTGATTCCCCTGCCCCCTTTTTTTTTTAAATTATTTGGAGTAAGTTGGACAACCTTGTTTTTGTTCTATGTGAAATACAAATATTGCTATACTATACCCTGACTTTGGTGTGGTGGGTTTCTTTTTAGGGGGAGTTGTGGTTTTTTTGGATCTCCATCTTACTATTCAGATTGGAACAATGGAGAGGAGGAGAATTAGTGCATTTGTATTAATTTTTAGCCCACTTGTACCATTGCTGTGACTGAAGCAAATGAGTTTTGGTTTTAGCTATTTCTTGGCTAGCACACTTTTGGGCTTTTTAGTGACTAGGAAGAGGCTTTAAGCTCTAGCTTAAAAATGCAGTTAGACTTGCCTTATCATTTCCTGTGGAAACTCAGAGATGATAACATATGGCATCTTGTTTTTAGAAGGTTTTAAAGATATTAAATAGCTTTTGTTAGTGGAGCCAAATTTTCTGTGTAGAGGTATTGATGGAGTTCTTTAACCCCACTGACGTCCGGTAGTTTTGGTACCTAGTATATAGAGTTTTAACATGCTAAAATGCCCTGATGCACAGGATATTTATTAGGTATTAATTTATTCTGAGAATTTTTTCATTGACTCAGATAAGGAGGGCATTTAGGGTTTGTTTTGCTGAACAGAAAGTATAGTTCAGTTGTGTTCTGTCAGTTTTTCTATGGTACACATAGCTGGTGCGTATGTCAGTTATGAACGTGCATATAGAATCATAGAATGGTTTGAGTTGGAAGGGACCTTACAGATCTTCTAGTTCCAACTGTCATGTCCTGTTTAGATGTTTAGTACAATGTTTAGGCTTTTTTGTTTGAAAATACGAACAAAATGATATAGAGCTTTGCCTAGAGAGGAAGTGCATGTGACTTGTGTGGGAAGAAAAGCTATTGTTTCATCAGAAGCATCTTATTTCTGATGGGATTGTATGCGAGCTCAAAACAGAATATATAGACCATTACTCTGGGGGATTACAATTGTCATGAGACTGTCATTGTATTATTAATTAAGCAGTCTTACCTGCTTGAACGAGCTGTAGGACATTTATCTTCATTAAGTTGAAGAAAATAAAGTACAGTAAATTAGGTATCAAAGGAGCTCAATCTTGCTGCCTTTTGGTCTTTCCTCCCTGCCTGTTTTGTCAAGCAACTTAAGAATAGTGCTGAGGAAGTTATTGGCCTGCAATAAAGATAAGTATTTTTGGTTTTAGTGTGGTCCTAAATGGCACACTAAACTGCAAGAGAAAAAAAAAGAAAAAGATAAATTTGCAGAACTGAACTAATATTCTGCTTTCTGAGTTCTTAAATGAAAAATGAGTTTATCATAATCTATGTATGTTAAAGGAAGACTTGGACTCCAGTAGTAGTAGGGGTTTGTGCTAAGCACTGGCCAAACACAATGTGCGAAATTGATGCTGGCTGAGAATCTCACAATTAAAAAACATCTCACAAGTAAAATAGCCTTACAAGAGGTGAGAAAGGTAACATTTCAGTAGAGAGGTTAAGATCCCTTGCCCAGGATCGTGTGGGTCCTCAGTGAAAATAAGCCTTTGGTCTTTTTGTTTAGTGACTTCTCGAAGTAATGTAGCAGACGCACATCTTGTTTATGATGCCTTTGTCCTGACAAAAACTCAACAGTGGCAACTGTCTATACCTGCTTGTACTTGGACAGTAACCTCTTCAGTGTCTCATAATTGAAGTATCAGAACAACAGCAGCTAGTTAAAAACCCCACAGTTTCCCCAAATTCTCGGAGGAATCCAGACAAAGTAATTCTTACCATCTCATCCAAGATAGGATAAATAAATCACAAGTGTTCTGAAAGAAGGCGTGTGTAAAGTGACAGAACTGCTAGGAGACTTACACAAGATCTGTTTTTTAAAAAGCGGCTGTATTGTATTATATGTGGATAGTAAAATTTCCACCTGCATTTGGGAAAAGTACAGTGAAACCTGTATTTGTACTTGGTCAGCTTGGTGAGCTGATAACTGAAAATAAAATACTAACAGAAGATGCATTAAAGTAAAGTTTGTCAGGTTTTTTGGCATTTTGTGTCATTAATGTATTGTAGTTGTTAAACATAAGTAGGTAAACAGATCTTTTTACCCTAATTGAACCTGAAATGTGTTACATCACTTACGTAAAATTGTTTCGGAGAGCGTGCTGTATCTTAATGGAGCTTCTCACCAAACATGCTTTAAAATGATTGAATAAAAAAGTTATGGTAAGTACTCTCATCTGAACATGGATTGTTAAAGCCTCACAAAAGGCTCTGTGATTAGTGGTCTTTAAACCCTGTGAAGTGTCTAAGTTAGAAGCACTGCACAGGAACTTATGTGAAACTGTGGTCATCATAATACACCTGACATTCCATATTCTCATCTTCCTAGGTCTTTTGTTTATTACCTCTATTCCTACTGTGGCTGAGTGTTAACAATCCAGGTTTTCAAAGATCACAGGCATGATGCATTTTTGGGGGCAGGGGGCACATGTTGAAACAGGGTTTTTGGGGTTGGTTTGTTTTGGGGTTTTTAGGGGGGGTGTTTTTCTTTTTTAATAGACATGGATACTGTTTTATAGCTGGAGAGGAATCTCGGGCCCAGTGTACCTTTGCGAACATTTGTGGTGGAAGAGCAAAGTATACATATACTGTTTTAATAATACAGCTATTGTCATCTTGCTGTGTGCATAAGGTTGTTAGTATGTCTGCATCCGTCTGAGACTACCTATGTGGCGGGAAGGGTAGTGTATATTTTGTATTATGGGTAGTATTAAATAAGTGATACGCATGAGATACAGAATTTTCCCATCCATATTCCATAAAATTGATGTACACTTAGGTAATTAACATGTTAAACTATACAAACCTATGAAACAGATTTGATTTTCTTGTATTTTACTTCATTCCTATCTTGCAAAAGTATTCTGACTGTTGTCTGTTAAACATGTAGGGCATGTAGGTCACTGGCCTGTCACAGAGGCATGTAATTTGATTTGTAATACAGGGGTGCAAATATGGCCATAGGCAGAGGTTTTCCATTTAACACTGAAGCTCAGATTGAAAGGCTAGATCCAAAAATAACATCTTTATTTAAAAGGTCTCAGAACATTAACTTCCTAGTAGTAGATTAAATGCCTTTTTGAGACACTTGAGGACATTTAGTAAAAATACAGTCCTTCAGGAAAAGTTGGCCTTAGCATCAGACTTGTGTTTCATTGAACTTGATATTGACTACATTGATACTCTTACATCCTTAACTGACATCTTGTGAAAGGAATAATTTTTTAAAACTTTATAATTGATGTTGATTTTTATAACAAAGTCTCTTTCCCCCATCCCTGGTGGGCAAATGCTCCTTTGTGGTGGTCTATAATGGATTTATTTCTCCACAGCAGGTCTGATTGGACAGAATGATCATTTCGTGATGTTCCCAGGTGGTAGACAACAGCCTGAAAGTATAAGTGAATCTGATTAAATGGCTTAATAGCAACAAAATAAGCATATTTCTTAGCTTTGCGTAGTTAGAAATCATATTATGTAGTAACAGTATTGCCTCCATTGATATTGCTGTTTTCTTCGATTTTATTGAACTTTATTTACTTGAGTAAACTAGTTACAGAATAACTAATGATCAGAGAAGAAAATATTGTGATACCTGCAAAGTCAATATTGGTTGAACAGATAGGATCCTACAGACTGTAGCTCTTCTTGGTAGCTGTATACCAGTGGAAGGGTTGGGGCTTGTAATTGGGTAGCTTAGTCTAACACAGGGCGCTGGCCCTAAAAGTGGTGCCCAAATAGGATAGGCAGTTCTCCTAAGCTTGTACACATGTTCAGTTATGTCACTTGTTAGTAGGTGTAAAGAGTGTAGGCTCAATTGGTATATTCCTTGAATGCTTGATTGTAGTCCTTTAAACTCATCATGTTAAAAAAAATCCATTATTCTCTCTCCTCTAGGTCACCTTTACAAAGAGGAAGTTTGGATTAATGAAGAAGGCATATGAGTTGAGTGTACTCTGTGACTGTGAAATAGCACTCATCATTTTTAACAGCTCTAACAAACTCTTTCAGTATGCCAGCACTGATATGGACAAAGTTCTACTTAAATATACAGAATACAACGAGCCCCATGAAAGCAGAACCAACTCAGATATCGTTGAGGTAACAATTTGAAAAGACAGATCAGTTTTCTTATCTCCTTAAAACTTCAAATATAGAGCAATATAGAGTATTTTAAGATATTTTAAGCAAATGTCTTCAATAACTTGAAAACCTTGTCATAAAATGTTAACTACTGCTTTTAGCCTGGTTTCTCTAAGGCAGTAAGTTGTTTTTACAGCCATGTTGTTTTCCCATCTGCCCTCTGCCCGTTTCTGGGAAACATGTTTGATTTCAGCCACGTTTGGCAGGGGAAATAGAGGTGTGAAAGATGGTTGTTTTTCTGGGGGAGGGAGGTGGGGGAAGTGTTGAAGGTTTTAATGGAAAAAATCAGTTGGATGGAGAACAAGGTCCAAAGAGTGCCCTCAGCTTAACAGACCCCCAGCCACTTTACCAGCCAGATACTGCACACAGATGAAATCAGCCACAGTCTGTGCTGCCCCTTGTTCAGCCAAAAAAACTGACAAAAAAAGTGAATCTGTGGAGCAAATGAACTTAATTACATTTGTTGTCCAGTATCTCTGTATGTCACTTAAAACATAGTAGTAGAACAACTGCAGTTTCTGCAGTAATAGAATAGTGTGAATGTATTTACTCAAAGATATTGGTTTTGTCTGCTTTTATTATTCTTGTGCTTTAAATAGAAACTCTTTCCAGTGTATAATTTCTAAATTAGGTGGAGTAGAAATCAAGGATTTTCTTGGCAGTTGGAGCCTTTATGTAGTGTAACTGCATTTCAGATAAGAGTCGTGTCTCCAGTAGTCCTGTAAATAGACCAAAACAGGTGGCTGACTGAAGTGTTTCATTTAAATTCTGAAGTTGTCTTCTGAACAAATGCCTTGCTTTTTAGGAATGATTTAGGAATAGTGATTAGCCTTCTATAGCTGAAGAGTCTATTGCCAAGGGGATTACGGAATACAGGGAGGATACTAGCTGATCTTGTAAATCAATTTTTCAAGCAAAAATCAGATTGACAAAACTGGGAAATAGACAAATGCTTTATATTTCTTTCTGAGAAAATTTTCTGCTAGTTTGTCAGCTGCCTTTCATGATCAGAAAGAAAACCTCCCCAACTTCTGTCTTCAGCTTTGAGTACTATTGAGAGGGATAATACAAGCTTTGAAGAGTTGAAGGAGTATCAGTTTGTCACTGCATTAGTATAAATAAGGGATAGCCACTGAAGAGGAGGGAGAACCTAATTCTTTCAAGATGAGCTTTTGATTGTGACAGACTTGAACCTGATAGGGATGCAAGCAAGTTGGTTAGCCAGGCTGATTGTTGTTCTGCATCTAAGATCTCTTTGTGTTGTGAGTTGTGGTAATAGTGCTTCTTCACACTGTGAGGAGTAAGAACCTCTTCCAAAATAATTTCCATGCAAGGCTGCCTATAGTTTTTTTGGGGTTTTGTTAGTGTTGATTTTTTTTTTCTGTGTGTGTGTGGTTTTGTTTTTTTTTTTTAAACCAGTGTCAGGCATTTGGCCCCTGACAACTATATAAAAAAAAAATGCAGTTGGTACCCAAGTGCATATACACTTTCTGTTCTGGGGGAACACGCAAGGACTCATCTACAGATTCGTTCTGATTTTCCTGTGTTGATTTGCTGTATTTTACTAGTGCAGGATTTTGGACTTCAATCTCATTTTTCAAACACAGTAAAATTTAGGAGTGCATCTCTCAGTCTTGTGACATGGGCCTTGTATGCTCTTTAGTCTGCTTGAAATGTTTTTGAGGTTTTTTCATTCTTAGGAGAAAGTTATTTAGCCACAGTGGGGAGTGTATACCTTTTTGCAGGGAAAATATGTTCTTTAAGTTTATGTCTGTGTTCTGGATGGGAGAGTTAAATCAGTAGGTTGAAATACTTACAAGCTCAATATATGTAAGGTAGAGAGACGTTTTCTCTCTGTTGGATTCAGGAAAAAAATTATGTGTACAGTATTTCAGAGAGATACTCTGCAGTTTCATTTTTTGCATCTGACTGCATTTCAGATGTGCTCTGCCTGTGTGGTAACTTTGTAGTCTATTAGCTATTGTTCTTCAGGCAATTAAGAGATATCATTCATGGTTGGGTTCAGATGGTTTGCTTCCCATGGTAAGTAAATAATGTCTTTAATTTAGGAAAACATTCCTTTTCAGTGGAAAATTATCTGATTTTTTGCTTTACAACAGAGCTGAATTGGTTCAGTGGAGCATATGATGTGCTTTGGAGCAGGTGCGGTGGCAGGTACAGGTAGGGAGGAACATGGGAGAAAAGATGAGATGGGGGAAGAGTAAGACTCCTGTATTTAAGTGGTAGTGATTTGCCCAAAGCTCCTGCTTCATGTAATTCCACCATTGATGGGTGCTTGTGGTGCCATAGAGGCAAAGTTACAGCGCCAGCATTTTCGAAACATTCTGAAAGAACAATGTAAAATGGCTTCTCTTTCTTGTGCCTATGTAGAAATACTATTTTAACAAACAAAAATTACAAAAAAACCCTCTAAAAATCTGTCAAATATACTAAACCAATTTAGAATTAGTAGTTCCACGTTATGGAGTTGTAGCTGATGTATATATTTTAGGTACCATTTTAGTAATTCACTTGCCTCCTTGAATATGACGATGGTATTTATTGTGATGTAGACTCACGGTGAAAGTAGTCTTGACCCACTGTGTTCCTGATACACATGACAGGAGGGTTTTTTGCTGTGCTACAAGGAAACCTAATTCTACTCAGCTCAGAAGCTGTGTAAGGGAAGAAACAAATCTACTGTTACTTATTTTCAGTAGTGGGTAGATGGCAATGTTGTAAATGATTAAGTGAAATTGATGAGACATCTTCCTCTTATAGTTGCCTCCTGTTCAATTTTGGCATTGAAATTGCTTTTATATGCCCAGAGCTTGGTGTCTTCTGTTGCTGCTGGAATGTTTGTGTGAAAACATCGTAGGAGGGAGAGCACTGGCATCTTAAATGAATACTAGAGGTTTTTTGATAAGTGCGCTTATGTCTTTCACTGTACATGTTATTGTAGATGTGAATGCTCTGTTGCTGTTCTGTAGCTATTCTTTTCTAATTTTGTCCCTTTTATGTGTTTTTGTTGGTCCCATTTTTCAATTTCCTTGTCCCCTCCTTCCCCCCCCATTCAGTTTCTAAGCGGTATAACTACCAATAAGTTGTTGACTTCTTTGCCTATTTCTTTCCATGGGTTTTTGTCGTAATATTTTTTTTCCTTTGGTAGCTACTTGGTAACTAGTAACTGATACGGGTGTAAGGAATATGGTTTTTCAGCTGTCTTGACAGAATCATAGGCTTTTGAATAGCTGGAATTGCAAGTTACAGGTTTTTGTTTCAATGTAAGCTTTCTAAACTATCAGTAGCATACTAGGGGAGGTCCCTTCTCTGTCATTTGTTACTTTTGAAGTTAAGGGAGAAGATCTTGTAACAGATAGCTTGTAGCCAGTTTCAAAGGATAATGTGTGGCATTTTTTAGCAGGGACTCAACCTCTGTGATTTTCAGCTTTTATTGCTGTTTGAATCTGTTTTACAGCATTGGAAAAAAAAGAGGTGAACAGGGAAAACAGGATTGTTTGAAACACTCGAAATCTTTGGAATATACACAGATCTGTGTAAAAACCTCTGTGCTTATCAGGATCAGGCACGATTGCTCTAATGGGTTTTTTAGATTAATTTCTGCATCCCTCTGAAGCATTCAAGGTGAACACAGCTGATGTTGGTGAGGACAGTGAAACTTTGCTTATGAGTGGTGATCTCCCGACGTTTTAGTAAAAGCCATTTACTCAAGAGGTGGTGAAGGTAATGTTGCCTTTAAGCCTCATGAAAGGAAGAAATGTATCCTGTTCATATTCCAAAATAACCTTTTCATACAATTTCAGAAAGATAAATCACCATTCAAAAAATTCCTTGGTGTGTCTTGCTCTTGAAGAATGTGGTCTTTTTCATATCAGATGAGAGAGGTTTTGTTGGGTTATACAAGAAGGTTTCATTCATCTTATTTTTTCGTGGTTATTTGGATGAAAGCTAGTGCTTTTGCACAGATTAGATGGACCATATAGGGATGTTGGAAAAAAAACCCTGAAATTTTCATTCAGTGTGTGCTTTGAATTCTTGAAATATTAGGGTCGTGTATTTCGTTTTACAAAGCCATAATAGCGCAGCTGAAGATTGTTACACTGAAGTACTGTCTATGATTTGAAGGGCTTGCTGTAGGTGTTACAACATTTGATGTTTTAATGTTCATGGACTTTTCTTCTGTAACACATTATTCTTGGCAAGTAATTATTTTTCTTGAAGAAAGAAGCAGAGTGCTTCTGCAGAGTAAAATGGGAAGAATGTCAGGTTCTATCAGGATTCTGTATCCATATGGTCGACAGAATGTTTTAATGTATAAAAGACAGTTTGAGACCTTGAGTATTCATCATTTTTTGATCCAAAGGAGAAGAGGGAAGTGAACAGGCACTCATGTTCAATCTTCTTTAGTGTAGGGGGTGTTAAGATTGCTACAGATTCTCTACAAGGTAACACTTCCACACTGAGTCCTTCTGTCCCTCAGGATGGCCTCAGAAAGCATCAGTCGTTCAGTTGTTCCCTCTCTTCCAGCCTTGCTTTTTCTGGGAGTCAAGGGCTGAAAACAGGCTGCTTTTGCCTGTTTAGCTTGACTTTTTATATCTCTTTCACTTTTTGGTGTTCCTCGAGTGATATAGAAAAACAGGGTTTCTTTAACTTATACTTGCCCATGTGTGGGTTGTGCACGTTCTGTGATATCACCTCATCAAACTGAGGGGATTTCATTTTTAGGAGCCTGTCTAAAATGTGACCTACTTTGCTGGTTGGCATCTGTGCCAGTGAGAATTTCGGATAGGTGTTGGTTAACGAGCCTCTTCTGTGTTGTGTCGTTTAATGCTGTTTTCAGTATAGTATAATGTGCTGTGTAAGGCTTAGGTTATACCACAGATATTGACAGCTGTCGTTGAAATGTGCAATGATCTGTAATAAAAATCATAAATAGA